AATCTTTCTGTCTGCCTCTCAAGTGCTGGGATTACAAGGATGCATCACCATTCCCAGCGTAATATAAAATTCTTATTGAAATATATACACATACAGAAAAGTGATAGTCCTTTTTTGTTTTTGGTTTTTAGAGGCAGTGTCTTGCACTGTAGTTCAGGCTGGCCTCAAAATCATGCTGATCCTCCTGCCCCAGCCTCTCTAGTGCTGATATCACAGGTGTGTACCACCACAGCTGGCTGGTCTATTCTTTTCTATATGTATGTTATCACGTTACTATAATCATCATCATTATTATTTTGCAGTTCTATAGATTAAACTCAGGGCCTTTTCACTGCCTTACATCCCCCCCACTTTAAAGTTAGAGTCTAAGTTGTTAAATTGTACAGGCTGGGCTTGAACTTGTGATCCTCCTACCTCAGCCGCCTGGAGTGATGGCATTACAGGTGTGCATTATTATTTTTAAGGTAGGGTCTTGCTAAATTGTGCAGGCTGGTTTTGAGCTAGTGATCCTCTTGTCTCAGCCTCCTGAGTAGCTGGGTAACCTCATTAGTTTTAACAGCTGCACAGTATTCCATGGATGTGCAATGGTTAATGGACTTACTGTTTACTGATTTTTGCAATTGTAAACAATTAAATAGTATATCGTCAGGCATATATATTTTAATATTTGTGCTAGTATTTCTAGAAACAAGTAAGACTGTTGAGGCAATGGCTATGTAATATAAAAATGTTTAGGGACATAACCAATAGACCTGTTAATAGATTTTTAAAAAATCAATTTATTCTTCTACCAGTGGTATTTGAGAGGGTACAAACTTACTTTTCTTTGCAGTGCTGGGGAGCAAACCCAAGGCCTCATGCATGTCAGGCAAGCTATTACATCTGTAGCCTAAGAGGTACAACCTTTTGAGGTTTCTTTAAGAGGTTGGAGACTCTGCTATGTGGAGTTAAGAATTTGACTCCATACTGTTTTGTATTTATCTTTAATGACTGCACAGGTGCTACTCTTTTCTCCCTTAGACCATTTTAAATTCCTTGGAGGCTGGGATCAAGTCATATACATCTTTGGTATTTCCCATAGTGCCTCGTACAGGCTGAGCAATCTGTGGGTGCTTAATACATACTTGATGATTGGCTGATAAACTGGTTTATATTTCTGGGCTACTGGATGTTTTGAGGTCAGCTTCTGGAATGAGAGGGCTGGGCCGAGTCAGAGACTAGGGATGCACCAAGTCACTATCAGATACTCTACTCAGACATCAAGTTTAGACTGTAATCTGGGAGCCCTACCTGTCAAGAGAACCCAGAACAATTCTTGACTCAGAGGAGGTCTTCAAGAAATGACATCATTTATTGCTGTTACTCTTGTTTAATGAGAGGGTGGCCTTAGGGTTAGTATTAAAGGTTGAAGCTTAACACCTAAAACCATTCCAGATGAAGTCAGAAATCCACAGTCCAGGTATGAAATCGAATTGAGAACCAGTAGGAGCAGCCAGGCATTGGAGACAGAAACGGGCTTGGATTCTGACACCTGAGGCAGAGGGCCAGTTGTATTGTGATGACCTCTTTTCCTACCACCCTAGGCAGTTTATTGGCATTTTGTGTGCTGGACTTTCAATCTAGGATGTCTTAAATGTGCTGTGTAGTCCAGAGAGGAGCCAGCAATCCTAGTGTAATGTTGTGAACACAGGAGGCACTTCATAAAAATGGTTCTATTTATCTCTCACATGCTGAAACAGATAACGTGACAGCAATATTGAAGGTTAGCTTGAAAAGATAGTGCAAAAGAAGAGCTATTTGCTTAGAATAAGATTACCACCCAAGATTTTCCCAATCAGGGGGTGTAGTGAGGGATGGAGAAACCAAGCAGTCAGTAAGATAAGTGTTAAATTCAGCGATGAATTTAGATAGTATGAAAACATGGTGGTTCATGGATGACATGGGCTCTACAAAGTGAAGAATGGGTCTCATTCTCACCTCTCTATTCCCAGTCAGCAGTGTGGCTGAAGGAGGGAGGTATTGCTATTGTAACTTTCCACATTGTGCTCTTCCTGCTTGGCAGACATTTAGCACATATTACGTTCTAGTGTCCTCTATAACTCTATGAAGTAGATATAATTGGCTCTCAATATTTGCAGGAGATCAGATCCAGGACCCCCTTGGATACAACAGGCTATGAGTGCTCAAGTCCTTTATATAAAATGGCATAGCATTTGCACATAATCTATGCAACCTTCCCATATACTTTAAATCGCCTCTAGATGATTTACAATTCCAAATACAATGTAAATGCTATGTCAATAGTTATGTTATATTGTTTTGGAGAATGTTGTCAAGAAAAAAATAGTCTATATATGTGTATTGCAGGTGCGATTTCTTCCTTGAATATTTTCAATCCATAGTTGGTTGATGATAGAGGGCTGTCTATCAGCTCTATTTTACAGATAAGAAAATAGGCTCAGAAAGAATTAATTACTTGCTAAAGATTACATTAGGTATTAAGTAGCAGAGCCAGGACTTGAACCTAGGTCTGTCTGGTTATGGGACTTTTGCTCTTTCTGTGCTACATACTATCTTACCGGTGTCAGCAACAGCAGCCCAGGCCTCAGAGAAACAGTTGTTGCTTAAGAATACTAGCTGGCCATGTGTGGGTCGAGTATTCTGTGGTTCTAAGTTATTTTACTCATCTGTTCATTCTACAAATATATGCTTTATCTATAGCTGCAAAGTAGGGGACTGAGTGCAAGTCAGATAGGTGGAGTGGGAAAGGGAGTAGGGTACATGGAAGAGTTGAGGTAAAGCGAGAACAAAGTAGTAGTTATTGCATCAGCTTGAATACAGAGTGGGAACTGATTTTATGTCTGCTGTTGGCTGTGACACTACATGATCTCTCAAGCAATACTGATAGACAAATTCTTACCTTGTGGTGGCACTCAGGATCTGGGATCCTTTGATAGCACCTTATACCGAAACACACACACACACACACACACACACACACACACACACACACACACTGATTTGGGTCCATACAGTGGGAAGTTTGTTGAAAAGAAAAAAAGAAAAGAAAAATAATCTCAGTTTTATAGTCACAATTCAATTGTGTGTGTCTAATACGACTTTAAGGACTGCATAAAATGATGTAATAATACCGAAGAAAGTGCTATGGAATGTTTGTCCATATAAAATTTCCTTACTTTTCTTTTAGTAGTGAGTACAATTAATAACAAATTGTAATAAAATAAGCCTGACTTACATAGCCACTTAATCCCAGAGGGAATGTGACCCAGAGCAGGGAGGGGCAGTGCTCAGGAATGCATTGCTGTGACACACCAACCCCAGGACTTCCCAGACTTCACCTACACCTGAGCTATGAACAAAGTATGTTCGGGTGTCATGGAGGCTTATGTTTGACTGCTCCACAGTCAGAAGGATGGCAGCTGGGCTGATCATGCTATTTCAAAGGGTATCTGATATACACAGGGCTGGGAATCCAGAGAGCTGTTGGGGCTAAAGGAATTTCCTCTATTTTCCATACCCAGTGCCTGCAAGACCAGCACCCTGCAGAATTCAATGGGGATGGAATCAGAGGCAATAATACTGATCAGCACATGCTTCATAAAGAATAAATCAATTATTATAATCAGCATGAGTGCTCAGGAACAATAGAAGCTTTATACATACTTTTCTCTACAAATTAATTATAACATATCTCTCTCCTAAGAGATTTATCTACTGAGTTTTAAATTCTTTCAAATTTTTGCTTGAAAGGTGCCATGACACTGTCAAATACAGTTATTGTTCTGCAATTTTTGGTTATATATTGTGTGGGACCCAAATACTGCAGAAGAGAAATACTTCTTGACCGTGTATGTGGTCGATTAAAACTGACAAAAGATATCTGCGAAAAGAGCTTTGGCAGTCTCTTCTGTATTAATTACAAAAACCTTCACCTGAGAGAAACTTTTGCAAGCTCAGGAAAACCTAGACGTGTAATGTAGGCACTCTCTCCCAAAAGAATGACAGGTAAGGAGAGGCGACCTTCAATCTATTCTTGCATGTCCTTTCACAGTTGGAAGGCAAGAGCCCTCCTGGTGGAAGCAGTCTTAGTGCCTTCACCCTGTAACATCGTACCATGGTTCTTAACTGTTTTCTGGACTCCAACCTCAGACTCCAAGATGATGTGACTCCTTAGGGTTGGTAGCAGTGGCATATGGTGGCAGTAACTCCAGAGTGAGGTGGCAGAAGGAAAAAAATCAGTCTGATTGGTGCACAGGAATTCTGCCTTGGATCTCCCTTTAATTACTATAAGCTTTTGAAATCTAATAGAAATTAACAACCTTTTTGGCAATCTTTATTTCATTGTCTATCTGGAAGAATTTATGGAGTTTCTCTAACTCCCTTAATGTCGGTGTCTTGTTTCTGATTCTGTAAAACGACTCTGTGTTCCTTTCAATTTCCTTTATTATGTTTGTTTTATTCTTAAAAGCCTTAGAGATGCAGGCTAGGGTGACTGAGACAGAGTTGGGGTCCCTCACTACTGAATGGGGCTTCGGAGGCAGAGGACTTGTCCTTATGCTGATAAAGAGCAAAAGTCTGAATTATCTTTGATTTTAATGTAAATAGGATTAGAAAGGCCCAGGGAGGACCTAGCTCTGGGTAACCATCCGTATCTGTGAGCTAGTGCTGCTTTAGCATCTCACCATGTGTGTACCGTATGTGAGGGGAGGCTATCTCTTATCTCTCCTTGTTGCATAGGCACTGCCTTTCGCCTTCGTCTTTGACTACCTACATTAATAAAAAGCAGTACTTCACATACTAGCGCTCAGACCCAAAGACAGGCTGGCAGCTGCTTGGCAGGTGGGCATGTAGCAGAGAGATGGGTGGGGGAGTGGGCGGAGGCATAGTTGAGTGACGTTCAGAATAGCCAATGACAGTTCGGGAGAGGGGCGGTAGGGGCGGAGGCTCTTTGTTTAGCCAGTAGAGGCGAACAATTACTGGAGCGACCTGGTGACGTGAGGAGCGTTCCATTCGGCCAGCGGTGGGCGTTTGCCACAGCTGGTTTAGGGCCCGGACCGTTGGGGCCCCTTGTCAGGAGGAGGCAGCCTCTTGGCTGGGGAGAAGTCGCTGCCTTCTTTGGCGGCCAACGCTGTCCCCTGGGACGGTCCACTTTCTGCCCTCAGTAGCTGGCCGAGTTCGGTCTCCCTCGTTCAGGTAACAAGGGG